TTGGCCACTAGTTTCCTTTGGAAAAAAATTCTATTCAATTCCTTTTTTCCACTTAAAAAGAAATCAACTTTCATTTGAGATACAAGAAGTTTGTTACATGGGTATATTGTGTTATGCTGAGGTTTGGGGTTTTGATTTCATCACACAGCATAGTATCCAATAGATAGTCTTTCAACCCATACCCACCTCCCTTTTCCTCCCTCATCCACAGTGTCCATGTATGCTCACTGTTTGTCTCTCACGTATAAGTGAAGACATGCAGTATTTGATTTTGTTTCTGCATTAATTTGCTTAGGATTATGGTCTCTAGTTGCATCCATGTTGCTCCAAAGGACATTATTTCATTCTTTTTTATGGCTGCATACTATTTCATGGTTTGTATGTACCTCATTTTCTTTATCCAACCTACCATTGATGGGCACCTAGGTTGGTTCCATGTCTTTGATATTGTGAATAGCATGGCAATGAACGTGCAAATGCATGGATCTTTTTCTTAGAATAATTTATTTTCTTTTGGTTATACACCCAGTAATGGGATTGCTGGGTTTAATGGTAGTTTCGTTTTGAGTTACTTGAGAAATCTCCAAACAGTGTTCCTTAATGGCTAAACTAATTTACATTCCCACCAACAGTGCATACATGTTCCATTTTCTCCGCAGCCTTACCAGCATCTGTTATTTTTTGACTTTTTGATAGCCATTCTGACTGGTGTGAGATGGCAGCTCACTGTGGTTTTGATTTGCATTTCTCTGATGATTAGTGATGATAAACATTTTTGTCATATGTCCTTTTGGCTGCTTGCATTTTTTTTTTTTGAGAAGTATCTGTTCATGTCCTTTGCCCATTTATTAGTGGGGTTGTTTTTCAGTTGTTGATTTATGTTTCTTGTAGATTCTAAATGTTAGAAATTTGTTAGATGCATAGTTTGCAAATATTTTCTCCCACTCTATAAGTTGTCTGTTTACTCGGTCGATAGCACAAGCTCTTTCATTTGTTCTCACTTGTCAATTTTTGTTTTTATTGCAATTGCTTTTGGGGGCTTAGCCAAAAATTTTTTGTCAAGGCCAATGTTGAGAAGGGGTATTTCCTAAGTTTTCTTTTAGGATTTTTATAGTTTGATGTCTTACATTTAAATCTTTAATCCATCTTAAGTTAATTTTTGTATATGGTGAAAGAGAAGGGTCCAGTTTTATTCTTCTGCATATGGCTAGCCAGTTATTCCAGTACCACTTAATGAATAAGGCCTTCTTTTCCCATTGCTTGTTTTTGTTAGCCTTGTTAAACATCAGAGGGTTATAGGTGTGCAGCTTTATTTCTGAGTTTCTTTGATATTCCATTGGTTTATGTGTCTGTTTTTATACCAATACCATGCTGTTTTGGTTACTGTAGCCTTATAGCATAATTTAAAGTCAGGTAGTGTGATGCTTTTGGCTTTATTCTTTTTGTGTAATACTGCTTTGACTATTAGGGTTTTTTTTGTTTTATTGAATATTAGGAGAGTTTTTGTCTATTTCTGTGAAAAATGACATTGGTAGTTTTCTAGAAATAGCACTGAATTTGTAAATTGCTTTGGGTAGTATGACCATTTGAACTATATTGATTCTTCTGATCCATAAGCATGAAGTGTTTTTTTTTTTTTCATTTATTTGTTTCATCTCTGTTTTCTTTCCTCAGAGTTTTGTAGTTCCCCTTGTAGAAATATTTCACCTCCTTGGTTAGCTGTATTCCTACATACTTCATTTTCTTTGTGGCTATTGTGAGTGGGATTGTGTCCTTGATTTGACTTTCAGCCCAGAGTTATTGGTGTGTAGAAAACCTACTAATGTTTGTATGTTGAATTTGTGTCTTGAAACTTTACTAAAGTCGCTTATCAGTTCTAGGGCTCTTGTGGCAGAGTTATTAAGGGTTTTCTAGGAATAGTAGAATATTTTCAGTGAAGAGAGAAAGTTTCATGTCTTCTTTTTCTGTTTGGATGGCTTTTCTTTTTCTTGCCTGATTATTCTGGACTTCCAGTACTATGTTGAGTAAGGGTGGTAAGAGTGGTCATCCTTGGCTTGTTCCAGTTCTCAAAGAGAATAGTTCCAGTTTTGCCCATTTAGTATGATGTTGGCTGTGGGTTTGTCATAGATGGCTTTTATTTTGAGGTATGTTTATTCTATGCCTAGTTAAGGGTTTTTATCATGAAGGGATGTTGAATTTTGTTAAAAGATTTTCCTGTATCTATTGAGATGATTGTATAATTTTTGTTTTTAATTTTGTTTATGTGGTGAATCACATTTATTGATTTGCATATGTTGAAACAACCTTGCTTCCCAGGAATAAAGCCTACTTGATTGTGATGAATTAACTTTTTGATGTGCTGCTGGATATAGTCCGCTAGTATTTTGTTGAAAACTTTTGTGTCTACAATTATCAGGAATATTGACTTGAACTTTTTCTTTCTCATTGTGTTTCTGCAAGATTTTTGTATTGGGCTGATACCAGTTTCATAGAATGAGTTGGAGAGGAGCCTCTTCATTTGAATTTTTTGGACTAGTTTCAGTAAGATTAGTACTTGTTCTTTGTACATATGGTAGAATTTGGCTGGAAATCCATCTGATCCAGGGCTTTTTGGGTGGGGGGGTTGGTATGGATTGTATTACTGATTCAAGTTTAGTCTATTCAGGATTTCAGTCTCTTTCTGATTCAATTCTGGGAGATTGTATGTTTCCAGGAATTTATTCATTTCCTCAAGATTTTCTAACTTGTGTGCATAGAGTTGCTCACAGAAGTCTCTGAGGATCTTTTGTATTCTGTGGGATTCATTGTAATGTCATCTTTGTCATTTCTGATTGTACTTACTTGAATATTCTCTTGTTTTTTTAAACCAGCCAGCAATCTATCTTGTTTATTCTTTTAAAAAATAAAATCTTGGTTCCATTGATTTTTTTTCTTTGTATCATTTTCCTGCTTTTTAAGCGGCAGTGTGTTTTTGTTTTGTTTGTTGCTACTGAGTTATAGAAGTATCTTAAATATTTTGGGTCTTAACTCTTGATCAGATATATAGTTTCTAAATATTTTTCTATTTTTTAAATTGCAGTGCTTAGAACAAATCTTGAGTAGAATATAACATGGAATTTGGGCACATTTTTGCTTTAGGGGCTTCAGATTTTGAACTTATGTATGAAATAAGGTAAAAGTTAACAGTTGAATATATTTAATTAAATAATTATTAATTATCTACTGTCACTACCTTGTGATTGGGAATAGAAAAGAGTGAGCAGAGAGTAAAGAGACAAACTCTCTGTCCTTCAGGACCTTACAATTCAATGGAAGAGGGAGAAATTAAAGAAGAAACCAGCAAAATATAATTTATATAAAATAGAGGCATGTTGTATTAGGAATAAATCAGAAGGAGAAATTAATTCTTTCAGAGAGAATAAAGTTCTCCAAATAAGATTGATTCATGAGTTCTCCTTATATATGAAATAAGGTACAAGTTATCAGTTGAGGTATGCTCCTTCTATGCCTAGTCTGTTGAGGGTTTTTATCAACCCTTTGCCAAGGTCTAAAAGTATCGAAGTGTAAGAATTCAGAGAAAGACAGACTGAGAGCGCAAGACCCATGAGGTATATGGTAATAAATAATTCTGGAGAGGCAGTTTGGGATTAGATCATGATTTCTTGGGCTCTTGAATAGGAGTTTATACTTTATTCTAATCACAGCACAGAGACTTGTGAGGAAGTGAGTGGCATGCACTGATTACCAGTTTGGGGACTGAGTGATGTAAGGGATGGGAGTTTGTGTTATAAAGTAAATTTAATTAGAGCTTATCCATTTATTTATTCCACAGACATTTATTGAGCACCCAATAATCGCTGGTGATACTCAATCTAATAAGATGTAGCTTCCACGATTGAGAAGATTTTGACCTAGTGAGGGAGATAGTGTCATGTAGTCACTGCCATGATAGTGGTAGCACAGGGTACATTTAAACTGAAGCACAGAAAGGCTAATTTTCCCAAGGTCACACCTCTTAATCAGTTGCATAGATAAGCCATGGACTCACCAGTGCACTTCAGGGTCTGTGAGCTTACCTATTCAGGTAAGCTAGATTCAGAGACATACATTTGGATATGAGATATGGTGAAGTCAATGACTTTACCTAGTCAGTCTGACCTCATACCCTGGCCTGAGAAGTATAATTTTACACATGTGATTTCATCTACCCTCTTTATGCAAACTTGAGGGAGCAGGATACATAAGAGCTAACCCAGAGATCAGAATCCCTGGTTCTGAGCCTAGTTTACATCTTTCTACCTACAACTACTCTCACTCATTAATTCATTCATTCCACAAATATCTTGAGCCCCTAGTGTTTCAGGCACTTTCCCAGGTACTGGGAATGTAGCGGTGAATCAGAAAGATGCAGCCCCTGCCTCTTCTGGACCTTACACTTCAGTGAGGAAAGTGAGACATGACACATCCCCACAGAAACAAAGAAGCAAGATCATTTCATACAGAGATAAGTGCTATGAAGGTGATGAAGCAGGGTAAGGGGCGGGAGAGTGAAAACTGCGGTGGTGGGAGACGCAACTGCAGCTGGGCATTTGAGGAAAGCTTTTCTGCAGTGTGTCATTGGTGCTGAGGCCACCGGTCATGGAGTAGCCAAGCTACACGAAGCTTTAAGCGACAATGAGCACACCATGGCCAAGCATCTGGATATGTGATTAAATTGCTAAGGCAGGATAGGGTCATGAGAGAAAAGGAATGGGTGGCAAGAATAGGTCACCTTCTGGGGAAGATGTCTTCACTGTCCTACTAGCCAAAAACTGTGCTTTGACCTTCCTCTCTCACCCTCCCAGCAGGAATTTCTCACCACCAGAGCCAGTGTCTATGAATTGCTATGCCTTAATGAGCATCAAGTCATCTCTGATTCTCAGCTTTCTGCTTTAGTCACCTGACCCTTTTTCACCAGAATGCCTGACAATACATTTTCAAATTGCTCTTTTCTCCCCCAGGGACGGAGGAACAAAATACCAAGAAGGAACCAGATTCTGCCAGTTACAGAGTATTGACAACACACTGTCACTCCGAAAAGGCACACTCAACTCCAGAAAAGTGAGTCTGTCCACAGTTTCAAGTTTCAGTTCTGTTATGTCATCCTACCACTGGCCAATTTTATGCCAATAACGAGTGGATTGACTTTAGTGAGTACTTCTACTGTAAATCTAAGAAGATCAGAACTTAAAATATAGAAAAAGGAGACTCTGATGTAGCATAGGGGAGATAAATAAATCCAGGGTGGCAGGAGTGTGGGCTTGAACACACCAAGCCGTTGGTTTACTTTCAGTTTTGCAGCAAGTCTGCAGGTGCTGAGGGAAGAGCTGCTGAGCAGCTTCTCAGGGGAACACATCTTCCTGAATGGTTTCCTGCCATTCCTGGGTGGGCCCCGAATGAGCTGGTGGTGGAGACACAGACTGTCTGTGGTTCTTAAAAACCTCAGTGCAATTTTCAAAAGGGAAGGGAGTCCCACCCAGAATCTTAAATTAATTTTGACTGACATCCAAACATTTTATGCCTTTCTAATACAGGGTCAAATTCCCTCCCACAAAGATTTTCTAATGGTCGTCTTTAGTGTCTCAATGAAACAGTTGTGCATAGCCCAAGCCAATTTTATAAGTAGCAGCAGCATGGCTCTGTTGGAGCATAACATCCCTGACTGTCTGCCTGCAGAATTACACACAGGACACTTACAGTGTGGAAAATACTGGATTGTAACCCTCTATTCCCTGTCTCCATTCCAGCCAACTTAGATCACCTCTTGGTTGCAGCTTGGAATTTTTTTGGAGATTAATGGTGGGGTGGTGTAGAGAGACTTTTATTTATAATGGGATATAAGGTTTAATATGGAGGATGAACTCTAACTTCAAATATGTCGGGTTTTGACGAGGAATAGGCTTTGAGAGAGGAGAAGGAAGAGAGGGCAGAAGAACTCAATTGGTTAAATAAGCCCTAATAAGCAGGAGGAGATGAGAAGCTGAAGATCCAGAATACACAAACTTTCCACTTTGCAAACCGGTAGAACTCTATTCTACCCTTTCTTGCTAGTCAGAGAGATCCTACTTAGTTTCACTCCCATGTTTTTGTGTGGTCAAACCCCTGCCTCGAGACTGAAAACCAGTATTTCATTCTAAATTCCTTAGAAACAGTTTTATCTATATAATTCAGCCCTAGATCATTGGGTCAGTAATACTGAGCTTCCTGCTCACACTTCAAGATACCTAATAAACGCTTGTTTGCTAATGAATACCAAGGAGAAGGTTTGACTATAGGTGTTGAGACTATCAAAAACGGATTCAGAGTTTTGAGCTAAGTACATTTTAGAAGCAACACTATGCCTGTCTTACCCATAGAATTGTGCCTTTCCTGAGTGATATTTTGATTGTTTTTATTTTGCGCCACATTAATTTCTTTGGGTAATACTTACACCTATTGTGTCATTGGTGAGAAGAATAAAAGATGCTCAACCTTTCTGAATTATAAATCAATTAATGAGAATAAAGTAAAGTTGAAATGTTAAAATTTCTTTAGATAACAGGTCAGGTGCATTTTTTTCAAAATATATGTTCTTAGCGTGGTGCCTTGATTTAGTGGCCTGATTCGATTCCCCCAGTATCTGATCTTCTCCCTAGCTGGCTGTCCTAGCCCAACCTTTTAGGTCCTGTGTTCTCAGGCCTCATAAGTTAACAGGGGAGCCCCTCAGTCTTCTTTGTCTTAAATTTATATTGACAAAAATATTCCCCCTGCTGAAGTCTTTCCCATTATTTTTACTGTATTTCAGGAAGTAGAAACGTAGCATAGTCAGTGGCATTGGCTACCTTCCTAATGACCTAGAGAATAATGACTTTCCCAAGGGTGTAATCAAATATGAATGTGCCAGGCTAAGCCAAGATCCTGTGCCTACAAGAACTGTTCTGTGGCACTAATCATGGCTGAAAGTGTAAGCAGATCTTTCAGCCAGGACAAGTGCCAACTGACCCAAGTGCCAATACTTTTTGATGGAGTCTATGAAAAGTATCAAAGTTCAAGTGGTCACTGATGAAACTCCAAATAAAGCCAACATGAAAAGTCTTTAGAATTCACCAGTACTTCCTACAGGCAGGAAAAAGAATGTTCAACGTGTAAGAAAATACTATTCTGTTGTTTTTTTTTTATATTTTAAGGTACAAGTCACAAATATATTCCTTTATTATTACTATTAAAGTTTTCTGATGTATTTCAGTAACAGAGGCTGTTATTTTATTTGATTCCACTGTTGGTTGTGGTTTGAGTCCTGCACACCTTTCCCTTTCACCTCAAAGGGAGCTTCTTGGTATGAAGCCAAACACTCATTAATAGTATAAAGATCAGATTGGATCGGCTCCCAGATCTTCTCCTTATGATTCAGCTCCTTGTTGGGCTCTCCAGGGATAGCATCAAAAGCAATTCTGTCTCCAAGGACAGACCCATTAGGAGAAGCCAAGATTTCAACTTTCTCTGGTGAACAAACACATATCACTATGGCTTCAGATAGTACTTGCCTCACGCTTGCAGGTTTCAGGTTTCAAAGTAACCTCTCCAGATTGGGAGCTGTGGGAAGGAGCTTATGCGTTCTTGTTTGCACATTGCCCGGGATAGAGATTCTGTAGCACAGAGCTGGGGTGAGGATAGGGGGCAGTAATAGAGTGGAGATTGGCTCAAATGCTTCAGACTCTCACAGTACTTAACAAGATTTAGTAGAGGTTTTTTTTTTTTTTTTTTTCTTGAATGAATATTTTTCCATTTGCAGAATAGCCTTAGGACAATTTCCAGAGATTTTAAGTGATTGTGGGTTTTTAAAAATACTTCTTCACTAGGTAGATGCTTTTCTGTTGGGAACAGATCTTCCCTATCATTTTGTACTTGATCCTTGTCATATTTTTGAATTAAATAAATGTGTTATTAATACTCTTATTAATAATAATGAGTAAGTGACTTCTCTATGCCTCTTTGAACAGCAATTTTGTTTGCCTTGTAAAGCTGTCTGTATTACTTAGGAAAAAGTACAAACTGATCAAATGTGTACGAATTTAACAGTGTGGGAGTAACAACAAAGAAATGTGAAATTTTTTAGTACTCTGAATTTTGTCAAATAGCCCAGCCTCTTGGACTGTATTGTACTTCATTCTTTTAGATGAAGATGATAATCTTGAGCTTCTCAGAATGTTAGTAAGACAAACTAATTGTGAAGTAATTAATATAGGGTCATTGAAAGATGATAGAGTTCAATTAGAGTGACTTAGTTTCGAAACCTTGACTTTGTCACTGACTGTGAGCATTTTGTCAAGTTACTTTACTTTTTCAGGCCTCAGTTTCCCCATATATGAGAGTAATGACAGCTGTCTCAATCAAATGTTGGTATCACATGAAATACTTTATCCAAATGCCTAGTATATTGTCTTCCACAGAGTAGGGTAAAGGTTGTCAAGCATTACTATGTTTATTATTATAATATGTTAGTAAGACTAATAAATAATTTAGGCAGTGAATTCTACAAGTACCCCAATTCTCAGTTAGGATGCTTTCGATGCAAGTAGCAGAAAAATCAACTCAAAGTTTCTTTCTTACAAAAAGCCCAAAGGTGAAGGAGTTTCAGGGTTATGTTACTGACTCAAAATTATTATCAAGCACCCATGTTTACTCAGTCTTTCAGTGATGTTATCCTCAGAGTTTTTCTTGTTGTAAAGGATAAATGCTTTTCAAGACCAAGATGGCAGCTATAGTTCCAGGCATCACAATAGGTTGCAATGTCCATGGGCTGAGAAGGAAATGTCTTTGTCTTTGGTTCTTCCTTTAGAACAAAGATAACTCTTCCAAAAAGTTCCCAGGAGTCTTTTTGTCAATTCTCATAAGGCAAAATTGTGTCATATGCCCAATCTTAATCCATTGACAAAGGAATGTGGATGAACCCTGTTGGCTTAATGAGATTAATATAGATTCATCCTTCTCCCTCAGAGATGGGTAGATGCTCAGCCTCCCTAGAGCAGCTAGTGTTCTAATACCTGAACACAATTGGGTTTCTAAGAGCAAAATAGGGAAGAAGAGATTTGGGTAGACAAGGAATAGAATTTACTACATCTGGGCTAGAGGTCAGAGGACTCAGAGATGAGTAAAATGCTTTATCTTCAAGGAAATTATGGCTTATTAATAATATTATTACAATAACTATGCATTCTGTTAGTCCATTTGTGTTGCCATATAGGAATGCCTGAGGCTTATTAATTTATAAGGAAAAGAGGTTTATATGGCTCACAGTTCTGCAGGCTGTACAAGCAGCATGGCATCAGCATCTGCTCCTGGTGAGGCCTCAGGAAAGTTACAGTCATGGGAGAAGATGAAGGGGGAGCCAGGGTATCATATGGCAAGAGTGAGCAAGAGAGAGACAGAAGTGCCAAAGTCTTACCTTCCCAAAAGTTCCCCCAAAGTCTTAACTCATTCCATCATTAACTCAGAAGTCCAAAGTCTCATTTGAGACCCAAAGTATGTTTCTCCAGCTATGAGCCTCTAAAATAAATAAATAAAAATTAAAAAAAAAAAACAAGTGATCTACTTCTAAGATACAATGGTTGTATGTGCATTGGGTAAAATATTCCCATTTCAAAAGGGAGAAATTGGCCAAAGAGAGGGGCAACAGGTCCCACACAAATCCAAAACACTGAAGGGCAGATATTAAATCTTAAAGCTCTAACATAATCTTTCCCTCCGTGTCCCACGTCCTGGGCACACTGGTGCAAGGAGAGGGACATGGTCCTGGACAGCTCAGCCCTGTGACTTTGCAAGGTGCAGCTTCTATGGCTGCTTTCATGGGTTGGAGTCCAATGCCTGCGACTTTTCCACACTTAGGATGCAAGTTCCCAGTGGCTGTGCCATTCTGGAGTCTAGAGGGCAGTGGCTGCCTTCCCACAGCTCCACTAGACAGTGCCCCAACTGGCACTCTGTGTGGGGCTGTAACCCCACATTTCCCTGAAGCACTTCCCTAGTAGAGGCTTTCTGGGGGAGGGGGCTGGGAATCTGGCCCCTGAGGTAGGCTTCTGCCTGGA